GGTTGATAGATTCAGGTTGTAATGAACATATAGTGCGAGATTCCAGATGGTTAACTTCAGTTGATGACAACATTGTTCATTCACAAGTTCGTATTCCGGATGGGACGGGTATTCCAGTTAAGAACATGGGCACAGTCAAACTCTCTGATTCTCTTACTTTGCAGCGAGTTTTGCATGTCCCAGAGTTCAAATGCAATCTCTTGTCTGTTAGTCGTTTGACTCAGGAGCACAACGTGGAAGTAATTTTCTTGAATGATGTGTGTATGATTCAGGACTCACATTCCAAGACTCTGATTGGCGTGGGTAAACTGCGAGACGGCTTATATTATTTGCAGCGTTTTGGTGAGGAGTTGGGTACAGCTCGTGATCCCCTGCCACAGGCTTGCAGAGTTGATCGTCAAGCAGCTTCTAGAGAACTGTGGCATGTTCGGCTTGGCCACCCATCTTTGGACAAGTTATTTTTATTAAAGGACCTTGTTGGTTGTAGCTTTGATTCCCGCAGCTCCTTTCATTGTGATCCTTGTGTCCGTGCTAAGCAAGCACGAAACTCGTTTCTTTTAAGCTCAATCAAGACTAGTACTTGCTTTGATCTTATACACCTTGATATATGGGGGCCTTATAAAACACCAGCCACGGATGGGTCACACTATTTCTTGACCATTGTCGATGACTACAGTCGGGGGACTTGGGTTTACTTAATGAAATTCAAATCCGACACTGAGCGCTATTTGCGGTCGTTCTTTGCATTGGTGCGTACTCAGTATGGAAAGAAGGTTCGACGTCTCCAGGCGGACAATGGTCCGGAATTTCAGACTGCATCTCTCCGTAATTACTATGAAGAGCAGGGAATTGTTCTTCAAACGACTTGTACGGATACGCCGCAGCAAAATGGCGTGGTGGAACGAAAGCATCGGCATTTACTAGACACAGCTAGGTCGCTCATGTTCCATGCTAATCTTTCGGTGCGTTTTTGGGGCGAGTGTGTTCTTACGGCGGCCTATCTCATCAATCGCCTTCCTTTGGTGCCTTTGTCTCAAAAGACACCGTTCGAAATCTTGTTGGGACGGGTTCCTGCCTATACACACATACGGAGTTTTGGTTGTCTCGTGTATGCTAAAGACACACATTATACCTTGGACAAATTTGCTGAACGAGGGCGAGCGGGGGTTTTCATTGGTTATCCAGGCACCCAGAAGGGTTATCGTGTTTACGATTTGCACACACGGAAGATTTATACATCCCGTGATGTACATTTTGTGGAGAATACGTTCCCTTTCCGGTCGTCCACTAGTGGCTCACAAAAAGACCCTACTCACGTGCATGGTCCTTCTCCCATGCAAGCTTTGTTTGACTTGCCTCCTGCAGGTCACGTTGAGGCACTTAATGATGTGCCAAATTCTGATAATGATCCCATGGATGAAGTGGGGTGGAAAGAACTCCCCATCACATCCCCTTTGCCATCTACCTCGAGCACTTCTATGCAACAGGGGGAGCTCCTTGACGATGTAGACGTGTCCACCTCTCCTTCCCCTCCGCATGTCTCTACCCAGCAAGAAGGTCTTGATCAAGTCAATGTTCTTCCCGACTCACATACTGGCGGTGACTCGCCCTCACACCAAGCCGATCCTCCCGATGCTCTTCGTCGCAGCCATCGAGACAAACGGCCTCCTTCCAAGCTCGATGTGTACGAGGTAACTTATCCTAAGTCCTCCCATCATGTTCAGTTTCCTATATCCAATCATGTTAGTTACCACCGCTTCTCTTCTGACCACTGTGCTTTTTTGGCTTCCATCACCAAATTGGACGAGCCCCAACATTTCTCCGAGGCTGTTCAGTATGAGTATTGGCGGGTCGCTATGCAGAAGGAGATTGATGCTCTTGTAGCTAACGGAACATGGACTCTGGAGCCATTGCCTCCCGGGAAACGGCTCATAGATTCCAAATGGGTCTATAAGATCAAATATCAGCCAGACGGTTCCATCGAGCGCTTCAAAGCTCGATTGGTTGCCAAGGGGTTTACACAGCTAGAGGGGATCGACTTCCACGACACTTTTGCTCCTGTTGCCAAGCTTGTCACAGTTCGTGTTCTCCTCGCCGTGGCGGCTCAGCGCAACTGGTCCCTCCACCAACTGGACGTGAATAACGCCTTTCTCCATGGCGATCTTGATGAGGAGGTGTATATGCGAGTTCCTCAAGGGTTCGCTCGGGATGGCGACACAAGGGTGTGTCGGCTTCGGAAGTCCTTGTACGGTCTCCGGCAGGCTTCGTGGAACTGGTATGCTAAATTTGCTTCCGCTCTTGTGGACTTTGGGTTTACTATGTCCCGGGCTGATAACTCTCTCTTCATATATCACACCCCGGAAGCATTTGTTGCCGTCCTTATCTATGTTGATGATGTGGTCTTGACTGGTGATGCTCCGGAGGTCATTCAGCGTGTTAAGACCTTCCTCCATCAGCGATTCAGCATCAAAGACTTGGGCGTGCTGAAATATTTTTTGGGTATCGAAGTTGCTCGCTCCCCTGATGGCATTGTTCTTAGTCAGCGAAAGTACACTCTGGACATTCTGAAGGACTCCGGTTTAGGCGCAGCTCGGCCCAGCAGTTTCCCTATGGAGCAGAACCACACTCTCACACGCCCCACCGATGATCGTGCCGACGATGTTAGCTCCTATCGGCGCCTCGTGGGTCGTCTCCTGTACCTTACCATTACACGTCCGGACATTGCTTACTCTGTCAACGTGTTGAGCCAGTTTGTTCATTCTCCTAGTCCTGATCACATTGCAGCCGCTCATCGTGTCTTGCGTTACCTTAAGACTGCACCGGGGCAAGGTTTGTTCTTGCCTTCCGCAGGGTCTTTGGAGCTTATCGCGTACTGCGACTCTGATTGGGCTGGTTGCCAGTCGACCCGTCGATCTACTACCGGCTACTTTGTTCAGTTGGGAGGTGCGCCAATTTCCTGGCGGGCCAAGAAGCAGAGAGTCGTGTCCCGTTCCTCTGCGGAGGCTGAGTATCGAGCCATGGCCAGTGCTACTAGTGAGGTTCTATGGCTACGCTTCTTGCTTCGTGAGTTGCAGGTTGTGCAGCGAGCTCCCACTCCTCTCTATTGTGATAATCAAGCAGCGCTTCACATCTCGGCTAATCCGGTTTTCCATGAGCGCACTAAGCACGTTGAAATGGATTGCTACTTCGTCCGGGAGCGCGTTAGTTCTGGTGAGATACTTCCTCAGAAGGTTAAAACCACTCAACAGCTTGCTGACATTTTCACCAAGGCTCTCGGTACAGATCAATTCCACCATCTCTTATCCAAGCTTGGCATTCGGGATCTTCATGCTCCAGCTTGAGGGGGAGTATTGGACTGATTTGTACAGCCTTTGTACTTGGGTGTGTTGTTTGGTTATTTTCCTTTTTCACCTTGTTAATTGTCGAAGGTATATTTAGAGGCACTTGGCCTCACTCTGTAATTATCTCGGCTAAACCTAATCAGCCGCATATAGTGAAACCTAACTGAGAGCTCCAAGCTCTCCGTGGACTAGTCCCGATCTTCGGGGAAACCACGTAAATCATCGTCTTCTCTACTTTCCGCATTCTTTACACCCAAAACATTGGAACCTTAGAATATCGTAGCAATTAGGGAGGGAAACCCACTGGAACTTCATCTGAGTCATCTCCACTTCGTTCCAAAACCTGAAGAACATCAGTATGTTCTCACAGACAATTTGGCAGACAAAGAATAAAGCAAGGCGCGTGGTTCCTTTGAATCAAGCTACGATGGCAAATAGTTCGAGGAGTTTGCATAACGTCAAAATGATTATTTGAAAGTAATGGAAACATCAAGATCAAGTAGTGGTTCTGCTGCCAGAAACCCATTCCTAAACTCGGTTTCATGAGTCCTTCATCTTGGAAAGTAGACATGGAAGACACAAGGTGTGGGAGGAAGACGAGGATGAGGCAGACATGGACATCAAAACGTGTGCCTAGAAGGGCGACAACCGGGTCGGAGAGAGAGCCACTAGAGAAAAAGGACGTCGAAGGTCGGAGAACGGTGTCGAGGGTGTTAGTATTGGGCCTTGTTGGGCCTCGTCTGATTCGTTGGATTAGGGTTTTAACCCTAAGTTTATCTATATAAGCTTAGCTATCGACTTGTGTGATAGTAAGCCGTCAAGATGTAATCCTAATAACAGATCAGCCGTGAGCTCTTATGAGCTCACCGTGGATTAGTCTCGATCAATCAATCGATCGAGGATACCACGTAAAACCCCTTGTCTCGTGTTCTTGTTATTTTATTCGTTTCTATTCAGCATCATCAAATTCTACATGGTATCAGAGCTGGTTTGGCCAAATGATCGTGTGTTCGAATCTCCATGACCCCCAATATTAACAGTTGATTAAAGCACAAGGTATGGTGGGCCTGTGCAAACTTCAAGCCCATGGTATAAGAGAAAAACTCGATCCTCGAGCTTCCGCAGTCAACCTCTCCATTAGGGATGGCAATTTTGACCTGACCCGTTTTACCCGACCTGTTTGACCTGTTTTGGGGCGGGTCCGACCCGCCCCGTAGGGGGGGCGGGGCGGGCATGGGTACTCTCAACGACCCGACCTGTCCTGACCCGCCCCATTCTCTACCCGTTCTTGCCTAAATTACACGTAATTTTAGTCAAATTACTTAGGATTTCTCTTTTATTACATCAAATCTTAGCTATAATAAAGACGTAAATTAGTGAAAACCTCAATTTCTCCAATAATTTAACTATATTTCTCATAATATTGTTTGTTTCCTTGGTCTTATAATAAAAACAACGAATATTTCTAATATTTTTCATATAAATTGCACACCCATTGGGTCGACCTGCCCCGACCCGTGACCCGTGATAAATTACCCGACCTGCCACGGGGCGGATCTGGGTACCAAGAAACCCGCCCCGGACCTGCCCATTGTCATTCCTACTCTCCATAGGCGAAGTCCAGACCGCCGTCCATCAATATCTTAAGCTACTTTCACACTAGCCACCACCGGATCCGTATCGCTCCTTCCGTAGTTCGACGGCGAAGATAGCAAGCAAAGCTACTTTCACACTTTCACACAACGAGAGCTCTTGCATCCGCGGACCCGCCCGTCCACCATCGTCCAGGCGTTGATCTCCCTGTTGCTCGGGTTGCGGTTCGCCTGCGAATATGGAGAGCTTGAAGCTCTCACCATCGTCGTCAATACTGCCGCCGTCACCATCAAATGGCCGCGTATCAAAGTCGCCTCCTATCGATGTGTCACTATCACCGACGTCATCATCCTCCGCGCCATCTAACCTGACGGCCGAGTCAACGTGGGTTGGATCAGCTTCGTTCATCGTCTGCGTTCCGACGTCGCTCAATCACTATTGTTGTTGGCGTCAGGCGAGACTGCTCAAATCCGAGCCCCCCGCCATCACCAGCCTTGTCTCGTCCGCAAGGTCACCATCAGAGATCTGCTTTTGCATCTTGTCGCCCGCCGTTCCGCCGCTATTGATTGCTTCTCCTGAGAAGAGATGGTGCAGTTGATGAGATGGGCGCATCAGGGAGAATTTGCGAAACCAAGGGTTTCTTTCTCCATTTGGGCCATCTTCAACAAAATGGGCCGCCAAATTCAAGTGTGGTCGTGAGGCCAAATTGGCCTTTATGGGCTTTAGCATATGTTTTTGGTAACAGTTTATCAAAGAACTCTTCAATTAGTTTTTTGGGTAAGCTATCTCATTTTGCAGGCTTTACCCCTCAACAATAGTCAAGTATCGATTGAGGCATTCACGATTCATAAAATGGTCGTCCCTTGGTGTTCAAAAGGTAGTATGATCAAAGAAGTAATCGTCCCTTCATCGTCCAGTTGGCATTCAGGATCAAAGAAATGGTCGTCCCCTCTTCCGGTTCATTATTGGGCACATATCAACCATTCATCGCTTTTCAAGACGGGCATTCACTATGTTCATGCTCCAGCTTGAGGGGGAGAATAGGAGGTCAACATACATCGGTCGACTAGCTCAGTCAACAAGTCGACCGCGATGTACCAATTGTGTTCAAGTTCAAGAGACGAAGTCAATCATCTCCATCATCAGGTTGTTCAGAGAGAGTCAGTCGTCTCCAATCAACCTCGTCCGAGATGTTATCATCTCGAGTTTAGTGGTTCAAGCCATCATACTTGTTCTTCACATTTACTTCTTCAAGCTCGACATTCTTGTCATTCATGTCTTCGCTTGAGGGGGAGTGTTGCGGTTACTTAAACCGTGTTAGTATTGGGCCTTGTTGGGCCTCGTCTGATTCGTTGGATTAGGGTTTTAACCCTAAGTTTATCTATATAAGCTTAGCTATCGACTTGTGTAATAGTAAGCCGTCAAGATGTAATCCTAATAAGAGATCAGCCGTGAGCACTTATGAGCTCACCGTGGATTAGTCTCGATCAATCAATCGATCGAGGATACCACGTAAAACCTCTTGTCTCGTGTTTTTGTTATTTTATTCGTTTCCATTCCGCATCATCAAATTCTACAGAGGGAGAAGAGATGAAGGAGACAGTGTAGGAGTATGTGTGACCGACTCACAATCCTAGGATATATCTTCTCATTGATTATACTTTTAAAATGAAGGGATTGAAGTCATTGTGTAATGGATCTTGATCTTCACCAAACCACAAAGTAATCAAGTTTGCACTCACAATGATCATGCTCTGACTACTGACTTGCAGGAAACTACACCACAAATTAATCCCTACTAGAGCCCAAATTTTTAAACTCTAACCGGGTGCAGTATAGAGCAAGTATTTAAATTGTCAACCCGGGCCAATCCATGTACCCCTACTTCAATCCCTTAAGTTTTTATCTAGCAAAACGGTTTTAGATTTTTAAATTAAGAAAACTACAAATGAAACAAGCAAAGAAAAGTAAATAAAGGAAAATTCTAACTAAGGGAGCTTCACCCAGGAGTTGCTTCCCCCTAACTAACTACCGTGACTCGCTGGATTGAAACGATTGCTTTGAGCAAGGTAACCGCGAACCACAGAGGGATGCAAATATGGCCGTAGACCACAATCTCAATTGCTAAACCAAGGTAAACATTATAGGCCGTGTCACTCGGCCCTCTCGGTTTAGGCAATCGGTGGTTGACTTACTCCCTCGCTCAACTCAAGGGTTGGATGGCTTAATCATGCTTAACCAATTTGCTTAATTCAACATTGAGGTTTTCCCTAAATTAACCTAGTTAGGTGGCTTAAAAAGCTAAAGGAAAATCAACTTGATTGAGTCTCCCTTGGAAGGGGGATTTTCCTCTCTAAGCTAGGTTAAAGTGGCTAATTAGATTACAAAGCATCTACATGCACAAACCTAAGGATGCTAAGCACAATTATGCACAATCCTTAGGTTGTTAAGCACCAACATGCACAAACCTAAGGATGCTAAGCACAAAACATGCACAACCCTTAGATTGCTAAGCACAAGCATGCACAATTAACATGAATAATATCTCAATCATTGAATTAAACAATACCCAATGACAATCATTCAATCTAAACAAGTAATTACAAAGTATTAGTTAGGGATCTACAACACCCAAGAGAATAGAGTGAGTTTCTAGAGAGAGAGAGGGGGGGTATTACAAATTTGAGCTCAAGATCTTCTTCTTCTTATAGGCTTGAATCTCCACCCAAGACTCCAATGATGCTCCAAGATCACTCTAGCACTCTCTCTCTCTCTCTCCCTAGAACTACCCTTTGGTGTTTTAGGTTGAAACCCTAGAGAAAGAAAGTGATCATTCTTCAAAAACCAGCTCTCCCTTTCTTTCTCTCCTCTGTTGTCTTCATATTTGCCCGAAAGTGATCAATTCACGGACGCGTTGGCCAGTTCACGACCGTGAACACCTAAACCGTACATGAACTCAGTCGTCTCCAAAACGCAGCGCTTTGCTTCCTAGGTTCGCGGTCAAAGGCCCCAGTTCACGGGCTTAGAGACCGTGAACTCGCCTGGCATTTGTAACTTCGGATTTGGCCCTAGATGCCTTGATGTTCATGGCCCATGAACTCGCCTGCCTTGTCCGACCGTGAACTGTGGCTTTTACTCAGACTTTTCTTCGCTTTTTGCTTGACCTCCAATTATCCCGAAATTCGACCTCGACCCTTCCATACGTGCTAGGACCTGGAACATATCAAAATAAGCACAACCTAGAGTGAAATATGGCGAAGAACAATGAAATACTAAGCTAAACGAATAAGAAATTAGGGGTAAAATGTGTACATTTGGGCCCGAATCACGCCCCCACACTTAGGCGTTTGCTTGTCCCCAAGCAAACCAAGTACAAAACAAGGTAAGCTGACAACTTCTTTTTCAACACAATTTTTTTGGGTCAAGTATAGGGCACAATATGAATGAATCACAATGGTTATTTAACATCGATCTATGGACCAAAACAAGGTAAGCATGGCAACCACCACAAACGACTTTCAACTATATTAAGATTGTGCATGCGAAAAGTTCTCACATTATTCATCAACCAACACACAACATGCCTCGACGACTCACCAATCACAGTTACTCCTGCATGAAGATCACATCATAGGAACGAACGATTCAGCACCCTAGGTCCTCACTAGGGTATAAGAAATGAACAAAACATGATGAATGAATCATTCACTCTCGACCAGTGGGGTCAAGACCATTTGATGCAAAAGATGTGCATATTCACGCTCAATCCTAATGTCCCTTTATCATGACGGTAACCTCTAAATGTTAGAGTTCACAAGATGGGTGTCGTTGCTAGCTTGTCCGGAGGTCTTAGACACAGGTTCAAATGACTGGCTAGGGTCTAGGACATGGGGAAAAGGCTTTTTGGGTGGTGGCAAACAAAACATGAGGTTCCGCATCTTCAACCTAAGACACAAGGTTCTATGGTTTCGACTAGAACCTTCCCTACAAACAACGGTCACTAGCATTGGCCAAAAACCGCACTTCCCACTATTCCAAACCACAACCAATCACCAAACCATATCACGCATGCTTTCTTGCTGCATTTGCTATTCAATTTTAAGCACAAGAGTGTAGAGGTCAACAACATGTAAGTGTTCCTATAGCTTGCATGCTAAGCAACACTTCTAAGAGTATGTTCAACATTTATTATATTTTTGGTGGCCACTCTCTTCTCTTCTTTGCCCTCTTATTGATCTCTTTTTTTTCTTTTCTCTTTTCTTTGGGGGCTAGAGAGCTAAAAAACATGCCACATTTTTTAACTTAAGGATCAATGCTCACTTTGAAAAACTGCCTCCACACTCACTTCACTTCTTAGCAGAACCATACACAAATCACTCATGTGGAACCTTGTTTAAGCTCAAATAATATGAATGGGGCTTCCAAACACAAGGGTGACTCGATAAGGTGCAGACACAAAGAAAGTAGGGTCGCTCTATCTAAATCAATCAAGCTCAAGTAGCGAGAGCTACCTAAAATGAGAGCGACCCTTAGATACACGGCTCAAAAGGGTTGACTAGGGGATAATAAAATCGGGACGGTCAACATATGGATCGTGGACTAAACCTATGCCTCCATCTTCCTTGCTAGCAACAACGTGAATGCTACGCATCATGTAAAGGGGGATCTATCACATAAGAACGAAACGAACGACACAAGTCTCACATGGCTACCTAGGTGCTCAATCATTCGTTATAATTCCCTAAACTCGATGCATAGCCAACTGTGAAAAGCAAGTAATCGATTCAGAACATCTATCGGTTCACAAACACATGAGCAATGAACCTATGCACAAACCTAATACATGTCTCAGTCATCATCATAGGTTGCAAAAAATCACAAGCAAATCATCCATAGACAATGCTAATAACCAAGAGACTCAAAACAAATCACCACAAGGTGCCAATATGATCATGCAAATGTAGAAGTTGTTATGCTTGGAGCCCTCGAATTTTTCAAATTTGGCATACATCAAGTCTCCAAGCATTCAAAACCACACCAAACATTCACACACACACACACACACATGCATTATGGACTACCCCCCCCCCCCCCACACACACACACGCACACTTAAGCTTGACATTGCCCTCGATGGCGTAAAATAAGGGGATAGAACAATGTTACTGGTCAAGTTGTGAATGTTTGTGCTCGGGAGTGGAGGGCGGGTGAGCTCTGGAAAAGTGTGGTCACGTCCAAAACACCACCAAAATGTCTTCAATGGTCTTCTTACTAGAGCGGAAAGCAAACAAATCGATGGTAGATGGGTTGCCTCCAACCAAACGCTTCTTTAAAATCGTGAGCTGGACGGTTTCTCCTCAAGTTTCGGTCCACCCAAGAACCTCATTGAAGTTGAGGTTCTCGTCGGTGAGGTGAAATCTCAAGTCACGAGCATTGGAAAAATCCATGATTGAGGGCTCGTGAACTTGATCGACTTTGAGGCTCCACCCACGAGACCTCTTCTTCTTAATTTCTTCACTCTTCTCTTAGCCCCATACCATGTAGTGCATCGTTGATTTACCACCATCGCATCCACCAAGAGGGATCGCCGATGGTTTGGCCTTGGCTTGGCAAAGAGCCGCAAATGGGTCCTTCTCCAAAAGCGCATCGAGGTCGAGTTGAAAGCATTGGTATCACTTGTAACTTGTGGATGTTTCATCCACCATGACCTCATATTCATCTTGGACCTCACTTGCTCCTTCTACTTCTTCCTGATCAACCTCCCTTCCTTCTTCTTCAATTTTCTCCCCTTGGGAACATTCAAGATCTCCCCCCTCTTCAATGCTTTCTTCCTCCTATTCAACCTCTTCATACTCCTTCCCATTCATATCTTCAAGCACGCTTTGGAGGGCAAGATTCCATGCAAGCTCATAGAAGGGATTTTCTTGCTCCTCCACACTTGTCTCTTGGTCTTCAAGATTTCTCTCGGGAAGAGGAAGATGATGAGAATTGTCAATGCAACCTTCTTGTTCCTCCTCGTTCTCCTCCATAATGAGAGGCGATAGCTTGCACAAGCATGTTCCACCTTCTCCTCCAATAATGAGAGGCGATAGCTTGCAAAAGCCTGTTCCACCTTCTCCAAAAGTGTCAAATCGGGAGGAGGGAGGAGTTGGAAATCCGTGTTGGAGCTTGTTCTTGTAAAATTCTCCACGACAAGCTCCAACTTGGACTTCGCTTCGGGTTGTGGGAGATCCAAGTTCGAGCACCCTTCATTGGTGCCTCGAACATACCGCTCCACCATGAACTCCAATTTGCTCTTTGGCTCCGATTGTGAAGTGGAACATGGTCTTGAGGTTTGTGCCATGAAAGCCTCCATGGCCAAATACAACTTGGATTTCTCCTCGGGCTGTGGAGGGAAATTTTCTTGATATGGGGAAGCCTCTTCGTACCCCCATTGGTATGGTTGTTCTTCTTGGAAGGGGGGCTGGTAATAAAACCCGGATCCTTGGCTTCCCCCTTCTTGTTCACTCCATGAAGCTCTAGGGTACCCCTATTCGGGTGGTTGTTCACTCTATGAATGTAACATCCCGAACCTTTTCCCGACAAGATATTGTCCGCTTTGGGCCTCTACACCCGCACGATTTTCGACTTGGGGTGCAATTCAGGGTGACTTCCCATGAGGTCACCCATCCTTGTTGTGCTCCGCACTGAGCACGTTTAACTTCAGAGTTCTCACAAGAACTCCTCCATTACACCCCAAAACGCGTCTTGTCAGTTAAGCCTGGTTTCTTACTTATGAACCATGGATCTCTCCCGTGCTTTGTCGATGTGGGATTTGCCTAAGGTGTTACACACCCCCCCCCCTCGGGACTCAACGCCCTCGTCGAGGTTTGCCCCACCATCGTTCAAGAGGGATGCGGAGAGGCTCTGATACCACTTGTAACATCCTGAACCTTTTCCCGACAAGATATTGTCCGCTTTGGGCCTCTACACCCGCACGATTTTCGACTTGGGGTGCAATTCAGGGTGACTTTCCATAAGGTCACCCATCCTTGTTGTGCTCCGCACTGAGCACGTTTAACTTCAGAGTTCTCACAACAACTCCTCCATAACACCCCAAAACGCGTCTTGTCAGTTAAGCCTTGTTTCTTACTTATGAACCATGGATCTCTCCCGTGCTTTGTCGATGTGGGATACCCCCACCTATTGTAGAAGCCATTGGGATCCATGATTCATAACCTACACAAACAAAAACACCAAAAGAAAATCAAACAAACACAAACCACCCTTCAAGACGAAGAGTGGGTAAACAAAACACAACACGAAACGCAGAACATAAACAAAAAGGCAAGAAAGAAAATGCTAGAGTAACACTAAGCGACTTTTTCAAAATAATGGACCGCGGTTCCACGCCAAAAACTTGACTCGCATGAAACTACACCACAAATTAATTCCGACTAGATCCCAAGTTTTTAAACTCTAACCGGGGGCAGTATAGAGCACGTATTTAAATTGTCAACCCGGGCCGATCCATGTACCCTACTTCAATCGCTTAAGTTGTTATCTAGCATAACAGTTTTGGGTTTTTAAGAAAACTACAAATAAAACAAGCAAAGAAAAGTAAATAAAGGAAATTTCAAACTAAGGGAGGTTCACCCAGGAGTTGCTTCCCCCTAACTAGCTACCGTGACTCGCTGGATTGAAACGATTTATATGGGCAAGGTAGCCGCGAACCGTAGAGGGATGCAAATATGATCGTAGACCACAATCCCAATTGCTAAAGCGAGGTAAATATTATAGGTCGTGTCACTCGGCCCACTCGGTTTAGGCAATCGGTGGTTGACTTACTCCCTCACTCAACTGAAGGGTTGGACGGTTTAATCACACTTAACCAATTTGCTTAATTCAACATTGAGGTTTGCCCTAAATTAACCTAGTTAGGTGGCTTAAAAAGCTAAAGGAAAACCAACTCGATTGAGTCCCCCTTGGAAGGGGGATTTTCCTCTCTAAGCTTGGTTAAAGTGGCTAATTAGATTGCAAAGCACCTACATGCACAAACCTAAGGATGCTAAGCACAATTATGCACGATCCTTAGGTTGCTAAGCACCAACATGCACAAACCTAAGGATGCTAAGCACAAAACATGCACAACCCTTAGATTGCTAAGCAGAGGCATGCACAATCAACATGAATAATACGTCAATCATTGAATTAAACAATACCCAATAACAATCATTCAATCTAAACAAGTAATTACAAAGTATTAGTTAGGGATCTACAACACCCAAGAGAAAAGAGTGAGTTTCTAGAGAGAGAAAGAGGGATTACAAATTTGAGCTCAAGATCTTCTTCTTCTTCTAGGCTTGAATCTCCACCCAAGCCTCCAATGATGCTCCAAGATCACTCTAGCACTCTCTCACTCTCACACACACTAGAACTCCCCTTTGGTGTTTTAGGTTGAAACCCTAGAGAAAGAAAGTGTTCCTTCTCCAAAAACAGCTCTCCCTTTCTCTCTCCCCGTTGTTGTTTTCATATTTGCCCAAAAGTGATCAGCTCACGGACGCGTTGGCCAGTTCATGACCGTGAACACCTAAACGCGTCCGTGAACTCAGTCGTCTCCAAAACGCACCGCTTTGCTTCCTGGGTTCACGGTCAATGGCCCCAGTTCACGGGCTTAGAGACCGTGAACTCGCCTGGCATCAGTAACTTCGGATTTGGCCCTAGACGCCTTGATGTTCACGGCCCATGCCTCCTCTTCACGGTCTTAGAAGACCGTGAACTGCCTTGTCCGACCGTGAACTGCGACTGTTTCTTGGACGCCTTCACTTCACTATTACGGGGCAATTGTCACGGTCGCTATTTTTCTTCGGTTTTTGCGCTTTTTCACCTTCAATTATCCCAAAATTCGACCTCGACCCTTCCACACGTGCTAGGACCTGAAACGTATCAAAATAAGCACAACCTAGCGTGAAATATGTCAAGGAACGATGAAATACTAAGCTAAACGAATAAGAAATGAGTGGTAAAATGTGTACATTTGGGCCCGGCCGAATCAACTACCATCTCCTTCTTCATAACTTCATCGCCTCATCACTAGGACATTTTCCCCACAACCCTAGGCTTTACCACCGACCGATTGGCAAGTTCTATCTTCACGCTTGTCAGGGTAAGGGGACTAAGAACAAGCTCATGATAAATCTTTATTGATGTGATGTTGATTATTTACCCTAAATACGCTAAGTATTCCAAAATATTCTATCACCAAAATTACATGTCATTGTAAAAAATTTCAGATCTCTCAAATTTGGAGGAAGTCATTTGCAAGCAATCATGGTTGATGAAAATACACTTAATGACACCATAGAAAGTTCCTCCATCTTTCGTTTCCAGAAAAAATCCCTTTCAAAAATTTAGTGTAGCTATGAATCTTTATCACAACAGAAGGGGACAGTGACCTTTAACTGTTTAAGCTTATCCTTCCATTTACCACACTTATAATTATTAAGATAACTTCAAATACTCTCTTGTGATGGGGAGTTTAGTAATGTAGTCGGATACCATATATGGTCTTGATCGCTTCTTCTTCAGTCTTCTTGTCTTACTCAATAATCTCATTAGTATCCTTTCTTCTCTCCAACCAGTTCTTGCTCAAGTTCTTGGCTAGTGGGAGTATCCAAGATTGTGATTTTTGCCCTTGGTGATGGCTCAACTTCCATTGTTACACGTCCACTTCGAAGAGTGACAGCGTGGCAACCTTCCCTCAGGTTCAGCTCGATGTTTTGAAGCATATCTTGTTGATTCTATTGGCCAACCTATAAGGTTGAAATCTTCCTGGAAACACCTTCCGCAAACTTATCATATGCATCGAACCTTCTCGCAGATGTTGATATGAATTGTCCTACCATATCCTCTAGCCTTGACAATCGACCATCGGAGGGTCTTCCTTGCTCGGAGTAAGGCATTTGGCTGGATTAGATGATTGTTGAGTTGACCTTTGGTATGGTACTTGACTCGATGACTGCCCTTGAAAATATTTTGGCTTCCTATCCGTGGGGGAGGACCATGGAAAGTTAGGGTGGTTCCTCCACCCAGAATTGTAGGTAGAGCGGTATGGTTGTCATTCCTTGGTTTTCCTTCGATGGAATTGATTTGTTTTTTTAATTTGAAAATTGAATGTTGATGTTATTTGTTGAATTAAATGTTTAGATGTTTATGTTATAAATTTTGGATTTGGTGCTAAATGTTGTATTTTTAGATATGAAGATATTTCTTTCTTTGAAATGGTGTATTTTTTAGTCATTTGAATACAACATTTGGATAGGTTGTGTAGACCGAAATAATTCATTCTTAGTTATTTGAGCCAAAATAACTCGTTAGGCAAACAGAAAGTGAGTTGTGGTATTTTGGGACAATGTTTCCATTAAAATACCTTCTCGGCTTCTCCTCTCCCTAGACATTTCAATTAAAGGTATCATTTGGATGAGGTAATTTGATGAGTTATTTCGGCCAAAATAACACGTTGAGTAAAAATATAAGGAATGTGGTATTTGAATTACCTCATTCAAATGATACATTCAAATATTATCTCTATGAGACAATTGAAATAACTCATTTTGAGTCATTGAAAATACCTACTCACCCACTAGTTATTTCAAATAACTCATCTCTCAACCTCTTTTTCACTCCATTTCTTCTCTAAGTGGTGAATACCACAATATTTAAATATTTTATCCAAATAAGACAATTAGGCCCAAATACCATATTTCAAACTGAAATACTACATGACATGTCACATAACAAAATAATGCAGCATTTGATTTGACATACCACATAATCAAAATGATGCATCCAAATGACCCGCTAATTCGTTTCTCCCTTCTTTAGGTGGTCAAATACCAGTCACAACATATGAATGTTATATGCAAACAAGATAATTAGACTCAATTACCACATTCCAAATTGAAATGCCACATACCATCATAATGCAACATTTTTATTCAAAATTCTACAGAACCACATGCCTCCAATGAACACGATACATATAAATATGTATGTAAATTTTAGAGAGATTGTCTTTTAATATATTAAATATTCCTATATTCACTTAGTATTAATGATTATCCACTTCCCTACATACAAAATCAACACGAACTAACAAAAATCGGTTGTACCAACAATCATACCATACTACTTGCCAAATGAGCATAACAGTATAAACCAGTTTGACAACTCTAAGTGAAAGTGCACAACTCCAAACAATCTATCAAAACGCTTTTTGGCATTTCCTATGACGATTTTGGTATTCACCATGGTTGTCATGCCGGTGGCATGCCGGCCGGTTGAACTTGTGTCGGTCATGAAACCGACGGGAACGCCACTGAAATGACCTACATGATCGACTTACAAATACTATGCAAAGTAACTTTGATACGCCCCTGGGGGTGTATGTTATCAAAGTCACGCAGCTAACGACTCAATCGAAGGATCGATTGAGCTCGAATCAAGAACAACATGTTCTTAATACGAACTTGGATAAAACGGAACCAAAAGGACGATTCCACACCTGGGGAACGCTCAATTGGATTAAAAGGTATATGCCCGACCACGATTGAAGTGACTATTCAATCGATACAAGAGCTCACGAGCTTGGAATCCACCAAACTCAACACAAGTCGCAACTTGCACAAAAAACCAAAAGGTTCTCAATTCGATTAATCAAAGTCTGAGTTTACAACGTAAAAGAAAGCTTTAAATAAACCTAAGCTATGTCTAACAACTAAAAAGGAAGTCTAAATACAATCTAACTCGAAAAGTAATCAAATCTAATAATCATAGTTGAATAAGGAAAGAAAATCCTGTTTTACAAAGGCAGAAATTCTGTGATTTCGTACTAACGTCGCGCCTTTTGTTCGAGGCCTTCCAGAGCTCCAATTCTTCATCCAATTCCTTCCCTTTGTTCATAAACATACCTAGTTTCATGTTGAGGAAGCCTTTTGACTTGGATCCCATCCACGCTCCTTGAATTGAGCTCCAAAGTAGGCTTCACAAAACAGTTTTCTGCCTTAGTCATTTTCTGGCAGTTTTCCAGTTTCGAGGTAGCAACTTTGAGGCCTTGGAAAACAACCTTAATGACATCATCTGGCTCCACAAATCATATCATTGGAAACATGAAAACTTTATATACAAAACAAACTCTTAACCTTGAATTTACACCAAGCAAATTGAGAGAACCATGCCTCCAAAGTATGTACCCTGAACACGGATTTTGACTTAGCCAAATTCTGCCCTTCTTTTTCCCAACTTCAATAGCTTCTTTGTCAAGTAATTGTGACGTAAATAGTTGGCAATTTGGGATCATATCACAAACAATCTATCAAAACGCATTTTGGCATTTCCTATGACGATTTTGGTATTCACCATGGTTGTCATGCCGGTGGCATGCCGGCCGGTTGAACTTGTGTCGGTCATGAAACCGACGCGAACGCCACTGAAATGACCTACATGATCGACTTACAAATACTATGCAAAGTGACGATGTTTTAGTGAATTTTGTGGGTACAATACCGCAGGTGCCACTTAAGTTTGAGAATTGGGGTAGACATACCACTTAAGTTTGAATAGGTCGTCGGGTACTACTGAACTCTATTATATGTGCACCCGGTATCACTTAAGTTTACAGCTAAGTGCATTCTGTTAAAGTTGACAAATATTCTTGGAATATTCCATTTTCTAAATTTCATAATTGATCCTTCTACTTTTCTTATTGTAAAAAAAATCATTTGCACTAATAAAAACATCATTTTTATTGTTTAGTTAGAATCATCTTTTGTATACTTGATATCAAATCAATTTTTGAAAATTTAGAATCAATTATCATAATAATTATTTTCAATTATCATTATGTGTTCTAATAATTGAATTATTCCATGAATGTTGTAACTAAACAATGTTGTGGCTTTTATAGTCATATTTTATTCTACATTTTTTACCGAGTGTTGTAGCTTTTATATTTTATTTATTACCTGATTACTTTCCATCTCTTTTCGTTCTAAAATTTTTTCAATTAGTGAAATATGTATAATTCTTTCTGATTGTGTTCCATTTGTCCTTCTTTGATTTTGATGTATTGATGATCGATTAGGTTCTATTTTAACTACTTCTAATGGTGTTTCTAAATGAATTAGGAGGTTTAAATAGATATTATAATATTTATTTTAAATATTTATTATAATATTATAGTATATTTATTATTCTTCTTGATATTCGTTTATTATTTTTATTAATTTATCTATTTTATTAAAAAAATTGATTAGTCATTCTAGTAATAATATTTATAGAATTTTTGATAACTATTATATTAGATAAAATTTATTGAAATATAGTTTTGGATGTTTTTAAAAGTTTTGGGTATCAAAAGTAATTAAAGTTTGGGTGTGGTGGAAAAGGACAGATACACATTTTGGCGACATTAATGGTACCCGACGCCCTATTCAAACTTAAGTGGTATGTTTATCCCGATTCTCAAACTTAAGTGGTAACCGAGATATTTTACCCCGAATTTTGTTAATAAAAGGTTAATTTATTATTTATTTCATGAATTTAAAAGTCAAAAATTGATGTTATTTGTTTGATTGTAAGTAAATTATCATCAAATATGTTTAATATATGATTAAATTTATTAAATGTTAATGATTTTCACATTTTTACATATATATGTTGTTAAACCGGCATGAACTAATACAAATCGGTTATCCTACCATTTCACTTAGCAAACTGCTACGTATAAACCGGTTTTATAACGTTTCGCAGCTTTCCAGTTGTATTAATTTCCTGCTCGTCCCTCGGCCCCTTTGGCCCTTTTCAATTCCAGTCCACGCCGCTGAGAAAAAGCAGAGGAGTTTTCTCTTTGTCTGCATCGGCCGCCACACTCTCGTTTCCGCTCTCAAACCCCGAAGCTCACAGCTATGTCTTTTGCAGCAGCATCTAGGGTTTTCAAAACCTGCCGGCCTCTCCTGGCCCCCTCCAAGTCCGCCGCCGCTGCTTCAAACCCGGCAACACCAGCCAAGAAAGCAAAGGCAGCCTCGAAGCCCAAGTCGGACGCGCCCAAGAAAGCTAGCGGCATACTGAAGCAAGTTGCAGTCTCCCCGGAGCTTCGAAGCTTCCTTGGAGTTACTGAGGCTTCTCGGACCGACGCTGTTAAGAAGATCTGGGCACACATCAAGGAACATCAGCTCCAGGTTTCCTTTTCATTTCCCCCGATCATTCCTCTATTTCTGCGTTAGGATACGTATCAGGGTTTCTAAAAGCATGATTCTGTGCCCATTTCTCTTGGTTTACTCGGTCACCCATGATTGTGTTGCACATCATACGTTCTCTTGGTTTACTCGGTCACCCCTGTTTCATAAACCCTAGGGTTTATATTTTTGGGAACTAATGAAACCCCGTGGTGAATGATGGTCTGTTACTTGTTTGGCTTCTTCTTCAAATGGGTCTTGTTTCCTTGGTGATTTCGATCGTGAGGTTTCCTCTCCATCGTGACCCTGTTTGGGGTTTGTTTTACTTCACACTTTAACTGCTGATCTCTGGTTACACTGTTTTCTTGTGCACCACCATGGGTATTTCGGCAATGCTGCCTGTTTCTTGTGCCAGTTTGTTTTAATGGGACTCCATGGCCACCCTTCATTGCTTGATAAAGTTACTTTGTGGTTGTTTTGGGTTGTTGCACATCATGCAATGCTCTTAGATACAAGCTGATTCATGATGAGGCGGGGAAATGGTCTGCTTGTTTTTTGTTGGCTCAGTGAATTTTAGTTTTCAATGCTGGCGAACCACAGTCAACTGGGACATGGGTTATCTTGGTATCACCAAATTTCTTTTGTGGGATGTGTTTGAACTATGGGGTCACATGTTTCATGGGGACGTTACTTTGAATTTCTCAATTCCCATTGTTATACTAATTGGTATGCCTCCTCCAGATAGAATCCTATTTAGCCTCATAGGTTAAGGTTTGCATTGAGTATGATGTCCTGTTTGAATGGTATGAATGTTTTCTGTTTTGTAGAACCCTGCGAACAAGAAAGAGATTATCTGCGATGACAAGCTGAAAGCAATCTTTGCTCAGAAGGAGAAAGTTGGGATGCTGGAGATCGCAAAGTTGCTGTCACCTCATTTCAACAAGTCTGGTTAGTTGGGGGGATGACACCATGTCGAGCATTTGGGAATCTCTTACTAAGCAGGCTGTTAGTAAATTTTTCATTGTGAATTTCTCTCTGGAATGTTGTTTTTCTTGTCGATATTTGTGGTTTCGTTCGAGTCCCAAACTGTTGACACTGGAAACACCATTTGTTGCAAGTGAACTAGCTCTGATCTTGACTCTTGTAAAAAGTAGTTAGGAGAAGAAAGCACTGGCCTCGTCAACAATGGTTAACAGCTCACTTTCATATCCCATGGTCCTATCCTCTTCAACAGCTCACCCTTTTGATGGCATGGTGTTTGCAGTGTTTAGTTGGGCTGTCTCTATTTTCCATTTTCATAGTGCAAGTAAGGGTGAGCATAAGAATTTGTATTGGTACAATTTTTTATTGCCCGCTGTTTGAACACAAGATCCGAATTCAACATCCTATTTAGTGGAGGTCTGGAGGATATGGTGAAACCATTGTTTAATGACGCTAGAAGAGCCATACTATCGTTGCTGGAGGGGAGAAGGGTCCCTGGCGATCTGGTTTTTCGATTTGGCAGTCCGTTCTTCTTCGCAACAAGGGCTATAGAGTGACATGAAGCTTGATTTTTCGTTGTGAAAGTTTTGGAGTGATAGAGTTCTTTGTTTAGGATGTATATTCTTTATTTGACATAACATCACAATGTTGGCATATTCTTGGAGGACGTCAAAGAGTGAAAGATTCGCATGTTTTGTAACTGAACATCCAAGAAATAAACATGCAAATTAAGGGAAAGAAAATCACATTTCATAAGCATATAATCAAGGGGTAATTTTGTCTATAGCTACAAACATTTTATGAATGATATCAAATTAATGTTTTTAGATATAAAGACGCTCTATCTACGTTTCACATTATCATCAATATTATTTCAATAACCAATGGTAACAATTGTATTGTTTTTCCTTGTTGGTAAACTATTGGCAAAATACACTTGTATAGCCAAAACTTTGACAACTTTGCCAAATATAGCCACTTTTGACGAAATACCAAATATAGCCATTTTCGTCCAATTCTTTGACGGCGTGACTTACGGTGCTGACTGGATTAACGGATAATCCGATGTGGCGATTTTCGTGCGGAAAGTATTTTCCACGTGGATTAAAAAAAAAAGGATAAGGCGAACAGATCAGCATCCCCCTCTCTCTTCCTTTTCATTTTTTCCTTTCCTCCACACTCGACAGCTTCGCCCCTTCGAACCCTACTCCCCCGACGAAGACAACGAACAGCGGAGGCGAAGTCCAGAACGGCGGCGGTGTTCGCCGACGACGAGCGCCCCTTTTCCGATCGATCTCGGCAACGACTAACAAAACCCCTTTCCTCCTCATACCAGATTTTCCTCCCACCCACTCATCCCATACCCACACTCCCAAACTTCGTCCTCCGAGTCGGCGGCGATGCTTCCAGGTGGTTAATAGAGGGTCCGCGAGCATTCCGGCGACGCGATTGAACTCTGGTGAGCTCAAATCGACCATCGAAACCAAAGAATCCGAATTTCACTTCGACGGAAAAAACCCTAATCCTCAGGTAGCTTTTGGGAATCTCGGGCGGTTGATTTCCTGGGCTTCTTCCTCTCATTCGACCGGTAAGTACCTCTTTGGTTGCCCACCCTTTCCTCTTTTCTCTTGTCGCAAATGTTAGATTGGGGGTGCAGTGTTGTAAAGGTGTGTTGCTGCCTTCGTTTTATAGATCGTAGCGGGCAATAAAGGCAGGAAAGTGACACAACAAAGGCATCTCGGATGTTAGGGTTTAAAGACTTATGTAATTCAGGTGAAATGATGTTAGCTAATGGATGTTATGCATTATGTAATTCAGGTGAACTTATGTTATTTATTAGATGTAAAGACTTGTGCAATTCAGATGAAATCTAAGGTCTAGCACACTATGCTTATTATGGTGCTACCCTATATTGTCATTTGCATAGTAACAAACAGAAACAAACCAGAAACAACCCATCTTTTGCGTACTAACAGGCTGTAAACATTAGAATTTAGGTCTCTTATTTAACCATTGAAATACAAACTGCCACATAATGCTACAAAACAACTCAAACATGAAAGATCGCCTATTAATACATACCCCAACAGTTCATTAACATGACCACAAGTAACAAAGCATTCAACAGAACAACAACAATGAACATTTGTCGAATTACAATAACATCTTGGTTAACCCTCCTCAACCTTAAACTCTCTTGAAGCCTCAATATTTGTCTCCTTGCATCCACTGCCCCTTCCACCCACATAAAGAATTTGCAATTTTTACTTGGGTCCTGAAACAACACCTTCTATAGTCACCAATCTCATCTCATAATGTACGAATTAAAAATGGGCTAGCAAAATCTACTTTACCTTCCAATGTGGACAGCCATAGAACATTCTGCTTGACTTCCTGCTTCTGTTAGTCACACAAGGCGCATTGTGGTAGCAAGCGACTTCCCCAAGGCTATTTTGAGCATTTTCGCTTCTCGAAGAGGAAGCGCCCCTTTGAGACATGATGAATCTTCTGGAAGGAGCAGCGGCTACGGCGAGGAGCAGCGGCTACGGTGGAGGTGGGTGTGGCACGAAACGGCGGAGTCGGGGTCAGCTTGAAACAGCGGGGGCGGGGTCGGCGTGAAACAGCGGAGGCGAAGGAGCTTGGAGCTTGGGGAAGGAAGGAGGATGGTGAAATGGGTTACGACGGGCCTACTTTAATCAGCGGCGGGGCACCTTTAATCAGCGGCCGCAGTTCAAAGGAGGCGGCGGTGATGGGTTCTGAAACCCTAGATTCAATGGGGGAAGTGAAAAAAGAAGGAGGAGGGAGAACGAGGCTCGGGTCCCCGATTTTAAGGGTGCTGATTTTTTTTTTTATAATGACGTGTCGTCCTATATGTCACTGAAGTATGTGGTGTAAGCGACGGAGAGGCTGAGAAGGTAGCCAAGTCAGCATTCCGTTTATTCCACTAACGGTGTCACTAACACAGTTAAAGAATGTAACGGAAATGGCTATATTTGTCATCAAACATTCAAATTTCTGGCTATATCTGGTATTTCGCCAAAAATGGCTATTATTGTCACAATCGTCAAAGTTTTGGCTATGCAAGTGTATTTTGCCTAAACTATTCATCATCATAAGAAGTTAAGAACTATAAAGACTTGAGCTGTCTCGTTGTATCATGCAATTGAGTTCCCTCATAGACATTCTAGCATACTCTTTATATGACTTAGTTGGTGTTCAACATATAGTAATCGATGGAGTTTCCTTAGAAAATGGATTTGTTGGGTTATGAAAAAAAATTGAACCTAGTTAAGGTTGGCCCTAGAAAGAGCCACTAAAGGCCCAACAGAAAAAACTTAAAAAAGCAGACACGCATCTAATTTGTAATAGTGGCAATAGTTTGCGAGCAAATATAATAAAAACTTGGGTAAATACAATTTAATATCCAAACCTTTTATTTTAAGCAATATAATAGCCAACACTTTTCGAAAACAATCTAATATCCAAATCGTCAACTTTCCGTTCGTTTGACCGTTAGTTGACACTTCAAAAAAGCTTTGTTTAGGGGAAATTGTCACAATACAACTTTGTTTCTTGTCTTCGCATTGCAGATGACTGAATATTTAGATATTATATACCATCATGGTGGAGTCATGGACTTCTAAGGTTTGGAACTACGATATGTTGGTGGTTTTTCAGAGAAGATATCGATGGATATTGATGAAGTGTCGTACTTCGAACTTTTTTGAAGTGTCAACTAACGGTCAAACAGACAGAAAGTTGACGGTTTGGATATTAGATTGTTTTCGAAAAGGTTTGGCTATTATATTGTTTAAAATAAAAGGTTTGGATATTAAATTATATTTACCCTAAAAACTTCTTAAGAACTAGGCTAAATGGGCCCCAGACATAACTGACACTCCCCTGAAGAAAATTCACCAGTTTTGGATAAAACCAAAACATTGCCAGAAATATAGATAGTAAGGCAGCCATAAATGAAAATAACACTTAGGAGAACATTAAATATGTAGGAAACACCTAATCGATGTATTAATTTCATTTGACTTACACCTTAGTATAAAAAGAAGAAAATATATTGAGAGAAAGCTAAGAAATCTTATCTTTATCTTAAGTCTATCTTACCTTTCTTGTGGTATGAGTAAAATTATAAGTGTCAAAACAGAACCCGACCCGACTAACTCATCTGATTAACCCGATCCGCAACCCGACCGCAATCCAAATTGACTAAAAGTTAATGATCCGTAACCCGCTCGATTCACAACCCGATTGACCCGTGACTCAATTAACCCGTAACCCGAATAACCCGCAACCCGATTAAACTGTAACCCAATTGGCCCGAACCCGACTAACCCGTAACCCGCCCAATTGACCCGAATAATTACTATATTATATATTATATAAAATTTTAACATGAAGTTTGTTTGTTGTAATACTAAGTAAAACTATTTTTTCATTTTATAAAGGAAAGTTCAAAAAATAATATTGTTCTACAAAAAAAAAAATTGATATTGAGGTGAAATTATGTATTTGTAATAAAAGAAAGAAAAGAAAGAAATCAAGAGGACTTTTGATGCTTTGGTTTATAGGAAGAGAAAGAAGTGAGAAATTTTGGTGAAAATCCAAAAGCACCATCGTTTAATTTTTTTTACAAAACTACCACCCAACCCAAACAATTTTACAAAACTACCACCCAACTCAAGCATGCGGTTTATCATGGCAGACTGAAAACCGCTCCCCCATCCCCCGCACGGTTTTTCGACTCAAATTTTCCTATAAAAGGCAGCCACGGAACACTCAAATCTTCACTCCACTTCTTCTTCTTCTTCTTCTTCTTCTTCAAATTTCAGTTGTGCACCATTCAATTTTTGAGTTTTTGCGATTAACGTTAATTCGTATGTTTGTTTTGTATTACTTTTTATTATGATTTGTGATTTTTATGGTAATAACTTAATTACGGTTTTATTGCAGATGGCATTCGAAAGTTCACGCTAGGGTTACGGTGGAAGTTTACACGGAAGAGACCGGAAATGGGGTACTTTATGTTGGTGGCCATTTTTATAAAAAGGTCGCTACGAGACCGATGCTTGAAGAGCTCCATCAAATGTGTGCTGAGGTTACCTGCATGGACGGTACGAGAAGAGTTGATCGTATGGTGTATCGATATCCAAACAGACATGGCGGGTCGTTGTGGAATGAGGAATTTCTCATTACCACTCAGACGGATGTTGATGCCATGCTCCAATTTTTGATGACCAACAACATTAAACAGGCAGAGATGTTCGTTTACACCGAGGCGGTCGAAGGCGGTGGAGGTCATTCTGGAGATGGCCAAACATCTGGTATCCACGATGGGGGTGGATTATACGAAGATCAACCCCACTAGGAGTACCAAGACCCTAATTCATATC